TCAGCCCTTCACCCAGGCTGACCACAACCTCATGGGGTGAGGGTCCCACTGGTGGGCCTGGCAGCTGCAAACAGCATCAGCACTCACCCAGATTGGCCAGGCACCCCAGCAGGACCACCATCCTGAAGGTGTATGGCCAGCCTCAAAACGGCCCTCAGCCCCTCCCCAAGGCTGTTCAGGCACCCACACTGAAGGGGCTGTGGCCAGCCTGCAAACAGCCATCAGCCCCTCACCCAGACTGGCCAGGCACCACAGTGGGAACCCCCATCCTGAAGGGGCTGTGACCAGCCTGCAAAAAGCCCTCAGCCCCTCACTTAGGCTGGCCAGGCACCCCGGTGGGAACCCCCATCCTGAAGGGGCTGTTACCAGCCTGCAAACAGCCTTCAGCCCCTCACCCAGGCTGGCAAGGCACCCCAGTGGGATCCCCACCCTCATCCGGGACACCCTTCAGGGCAAACAGGCTGGCCCTTACCCATGCACCAGAACTCTATCCTATATAATAAAAGGGTAATATGCAAATTGACCCTAACAGCAGAACGACTGGGAATGACTGGTCACTATGACACACACTGACCACCAGGGGGCAGATGCTCAATGAAGGAGCTGCCCCCTGGTGGTCAGAGCGCTCCCACAGAGGAAGCTCTGCTCAGCCACAAGCCAGGCTTATGGCTGCCAGTACAGGGTGGTGGTGGGAGCCTCTCCCGTCTCCTCAGCAGTGCTAAGGATGTCCAACTGCAGCTTAGACCTGCTCCCCACTGGCAAGTGGACATCCCCCAAGGGCTCCCAGGCTGACAGAGGGATGTCTGACTGCCAGCTTAGGCCCAATCCCCCGGGAAGTGGGCCTAAGCCAGCAGGTGGTCATCCCCCGAGGGGTCCCAGAATGCGAGAGGGCACAGGCTGAGCTGAGGGATCCCTGAGTGCACAAATTTTTGTGCACCAGGCCTCTAGTATATATAATAAAACAAAATAAAATAAGATGTTTTTAGACTCTAAATCAGTGAAAACACCAAACTTTTAAAAATGAGAATTCTTAAAGTAAATTATGCAACACAATTTAGCCAAATCTATCATTCTTGTTAGTGGAAAACCCACTGTTCCTGTACTGCACACAATGCCCCATTATTTTCCAGGGATTCAAATGATTATACTTTGATACTTTACCTAACTCATCTTTTTCACCAGCCAGCCCATACTGAGAACAAAGCATTTGCTCAAGTCCTTAAACTGTCTACCACACAATGATATAACTAACAAGGAGCCTTACTTTTTAGGAAGATCACAAGTCCCTTTGAAATTCATTCCTGCGACCATCACAAACCACTCCTTTGGCAATCCAGTCACTCTTTTTCCCCAGTTAACATCAAACATGACTTCTCTCTTCAGAAAGATATTTCACCTACTCAAATAATATTTCCATTTTTACCTGGTGGCAGTGGAACCAGTAAGAAAAATAAAATGAAGAGAGAAACCACAATTTTCATGCTTGAAGAGAGTCAAATCAGCAGCTGGCGTCTTTTAGTAAGGGGACCGTAGAAAGTGTACCTTTTTATATTCCTTTCCCTGCAGTGATATGAATTTGGTCATTCATATTTATCAAAGGTTAACAATCCTGTTTAGCAGTGCCTGAGGCAAAAGTGCTGGACATTGCTTTTCTTTAACATGGGAATGTAAAGGGCTTATGACATCCCCAGTGGGTTATTATGATTTTTTATAACTAGTTGTCTAAAAAATTCCATAGTACTGGGATTTTTTTTTTTTTTTTTTTTACTGGGAATTTAAAAAAAATATGTTTTTATTGCTTTCAGAGAGAGGAAGGGATAGAGAGATAGAAACATCAATGATGTCCCTGCTGGGGTGCCTGGCCAATCTGGGTGAGGGGCTGCTGGCTGTTTGCAGGCTGGCCAAGCCCCCCAGCAGGGACCCTCACCCCATGAGGGTGTGGCCATCCTGGGTGAGGGGCTGATGGCTGTTTGCAGGCTGGCCACAGCCCCTTCAGGGTAGGGATCCCTGCTGGGGTGCCTGGCCAGCCTGGGTGAGGGGTTAATGGCTGTTTTCAGGCTGGCCACAGCCCCCAGCTACCCAAGCTCCCATTGGAGGCTCGCTGGAAGCAGGTATCTGGGATTTATTTAACTTCTATAATTGAAACTTTGTTGCCTTTTGCGGAGGCAAAAGCCAGCCAGAGAAGGCAGGAAGCTTGGCTTCCTCCATCGCTGGGGCAACCAAGTCTCCTGCTTGCTCCAGCTCCATGACTGTGGGCCGCCATCTTGGTTGGGTTAATTTGCATATAATCGCTTTGATTGAGTGGTGGGCGTGGCTTGGGCATAGCAAAGGTATGGTCAATTAACATCTTTCTTTATATATATATATATATATATATATATATATATATATATATATATATAACAAAATTATTTTTAAAATACAAAGTCCTAAGGAAAATTGAGATAGTAATGAAAAAGGAAGTCAGGAGGGAAGAAATACAAAAGTTTAATGTACTTATCCAAAATATTTAATTCACTGAGAATTAGGAAAATATAAGTGAATATAACTTTGAATTTTTCATAATTATGTTACATATTTTTTTGCTGTTGTTCTTTAAAGAGTAATACAGGGTACTCCCTCACCACCTTTGTACTTTAGAGTACCTTCCTAGAATTCTTCTGAGTCCCTTGGACAGTTTAAAGCTGGATAATTTTAAGGGTCCTGTTTTCTACATCATAGAATATTTCTTGCCAGAGGCCGGTCCATCCTTGTTGCTTGACACAGTCACTGCAGGGAAGAAACATCTGCACAGTATATGTTTCAAGGGACCTGGCATACTGTTCTTAATATGTTTGCTCCCCTTATTAGCTCTCTGTGTTCTAGCCAGGGCCACTTTCCCTAGAAAGGACTTATGAAGAACTTGGACTAAGACTGTTGGCAATAAATTTGGGACTTGTTGGGCCCACATCCCCAAGGGTCTTCCCACCAGGGAAAGCACCAAAGCCTATACCCCTGGAGACTCACCGACACAGGGCAGTCCCAGGGAAGGCAAGCAGCCAGGCTGGGAGGACATAACCTTTACTGGGTAGGATAATCTCCTTTAGTCACTTACTTGTAGCTTATCAGTAGAGCAGTAGAATAGTGCCCTTGGAATAGCCCTTATAATGGAACACAGATTAACCTAGATAAGATTAAAATCAACAGAATTAGATAGAGACAGGATTTTTGGCAAAGGTCAGATAAGAAACTATGGGCATGAAACAAGGAACTGTAGAAGGTTAAGGGAGGACCCAAAAACATACCATGATGTGACTATAGAGGCATGCTTATAGGATCAAATGGTATAAAGCCAGATGTAACAGGAGAATAAAGAGAGAACCTGGCTATGCTGATCAACTGAACACTGTCTCCGTGTCATTCCTTCTTTGCCGACTCCATCCACACCTTTGGGAACCCCTTGACCTGCTGGGGCTGGACCCCAACAATTTCTTATATTTGATTCATTATGTTGTTGATGATGCTCTCTATTGCATTTTCATTTAAGTCATTGTATTTTTTCAGCTCCATGATTTGTCTGGTTCTTTTGATTATTCCTTCTCTATTAAACTGTTCACATATTACTTTCTGATTTTGTTGAATGGTCTTTCTGTGTTTTTTTGTAGTCAATTGAGTGTTTTTAAAACAGCGATTTAAAATTCTTTACCAGATAAACTACTAATCTTTGTGTCTTTAGAGTCAGGTACTGAGAAATTATTGTATTCCTTTAGTAGTGTCATGTTTTCTTGACATTTTAAGTTCTCATTTTCAATGAAACATAATGGCACTTATTTTCACCTCCTTCCATTCATCAATAATTTTTAAAAACCTCAATGAACCCAATAAATACAGTAAATACAGTTCATTATCAATTTGAAGGAACTGTGTAATAATTCTATGTAATTTGTTATCTCTCTTTTAAATATGCATCTGTTCATGATCATTATAATTTTTAGCTTGGACTGGTTCTTCTTGGTATATTCCTTCTTTTAAATGTGCCTTCTTATTACTTTAGAAAGATAAATCTGTGATAAAAGAAAAGTACAGAAGAATGGTTCAAGATCTTTGATTCTTTTCCAAATTTTATCACAACCAGGCTGTACTGTTTCATAACTCTCTGTTCCTCAGTTTCCTTAGTGTAAGATAAGAAATTTGGAACTCAGCGATACTTTAGAAGTTGTGTGGTAAAGAACTTAACAATGCTTTAAGAGAAGCCTTGCCTGTGTTCTAGCTTTTCTAACCCTTTAGAATGTCATGCCTGAGAGCAGTGTCTAGTTTCACATGGCATTTTGAGTTACACAGGACAGCCTAAGAATGTGATTTCAGTTGAGGGCTTTGGGTTATGTAGTATAAACTCAAACATCAGATGGGTTGGGGACAGATCAGCCAGGTGGAAAGTCAACTATACTTATTTGATGAACCCCCAATAAAATCCCTGGTCACTAAAACTCAGGTAAACCTTCCTTGTTGGCAATACTCCATATGTATCATCATGCATTGCTATTGAAAGAAAGTAACAACGTTCCTGACTGCATTGAGAAAAAATAACCGGAATCTCCATACTTGAACCTTTCCTGGACTTTGTCCCATTTACCTCTTCTATTGGCTGATTTTAAGCTATATTTGTCACCCTAATAAATCGTAATTATGAATATAACAGCTTTCAGTGTGTTCAGTGAATCCTCCTAGAGAATAATAAAAACTGTAGGTGGTCTTGGGGTGCCTGAACTTACAATTGGTGTCATAATTGAAGGTGGTGTTGGGAACTGCCCCCTAATTTTGCATCAGGAATGGGACATTTTGTATTCTAGCTCCAGCTTTAGTGCATAGCTTAAACTTTATTTCTTTAGAAAATTATATCCTCATTTCATGGGACTTTTTTTCTTTCCATGTTTTATCAATTTTTATTATGCACTGATTTGTGGTCCTCTAAATTTCTTCTGTTCAAGCTCAAACTCTCAGTATGACTCTATTTGGACATTGGGCCTATAAAGAGTTAAATAAATTTAAATGAGGTAAAAAAAAAAGTGAAGCCCTACTCCAACAGGACTTGTGTTATTATAAAAGAAAAAGGGACACCAGAGATGTGCGTGCACAGAGAAAAGGCCTTTTGAGGATACAGCAAGGAACTCACCAGTATTTTGTGTACTAAAGTACATACTAGGTACTTAACAATGTTTGAATGAATGGAGTGATAAACTAGCAAAAGATTAAATGATTAATTTCTATAGTTATTATAGCTGAATATTTACAGCTGTACTTCATTAAAGAACCCTTTCCAGATACTTATATCCCAATCCTATATAATAAAAGGGTAATATACAAATTGACCCTAAGGGCAGAACATCTGGGAACAACTGGTCACTATGATGCACACTGACCGCCAGGGGGCAGAAACTCAATGCAGGAGCTTCCCTTTGGTGGTCAGTGCGCTCCCACAGCGGGAGCTCTGCTCAGCCACAAGCCGGGCTAACGGCTGCGAGTGCAGCAGCGGTGGCAGGAGCCTCTCCCGCCTCCTTGGCAGTGCTAAGGATGTCTGACTGTCGATGCCCCGGGCTGCCAGAGGGATGTCTGACTGCCAGCTTAGGCCCAATCCCCCAGGGAGTAAGCCTAAGCTGGCAGGTGGACATCCCCTGAGGGGTCCTGGACTGCAAGAAGGCGCAGGCTGGGCTGAGGGACCCCCCTTCCCGAGGGCACAAATTTTTATGCACGAGGCCTCTAGTATCAATATATTTTTTTATTTCTGCTGAGTCAAGAAATCCAACAATCAGTGACCGACTTCCAGATCTAATGAACAAGTCCTTTTTCAGTTTACACCATGTCTGCACTCCCACATGATGAGAGAACAAAAACACACTGACTATTTTCACAATAAATTTAGTGCCAGTAATTAATTAGTGCTCTCTGGAGGTCATATTACATTTCCTGGTTCCTGTCACACTTCTCTTTTAGAAAATTATTTTATACTCTCTCCTCACCTCTGAAGCTACCAGAGCCTTCTCCCATTTTCTAAGTTTTAGCTCAAGAACTGGCTTTCTACTTTGCTGAGAGATTTTGAAAATCATTAGAAAACTTTATCAACTTCCAAAATTACCGTTCCCCAGTTTTACCAGTGGGACTTACCTCAGTTCTATGCTCTGGATGAATTCTCTGAGATCCCATGAGTCCAGCAAAGGATGACATCTTCGTTTTTTATTTGGATCAAACTTTTTGCCTAGTTAATGGTCTATTTTCTCTTCTCCACAAATCTCTTAATGTTTTAAATTTTCCAGTTATAAATGTTGAAAAAAATTTTCTCGACATCATTTTGACCTCAAGCTACTACATCATTTCTTTTGTTCCATTTATTGCCAACCTCTTCAAAATAGTTTTCTATATTTTTTATTAAATTTCCATCCTCTCAATTTCTCATGAACAGGGTTTTTGTCTCTTTCACCCCTCTGAAATTGTTCTAGTAATGGTC